TGTTAATCCAGTGAATTCTTGAAGAAAGGAAAATAGATTTTTATGATCAAAAATTGAATGATATTGACCTTGAAGAAAGAAATTGTTCTAAAACTATTTTGTTCATTTTTGAGAAGCAGGACATTATTGTTCATTGATCATTCCACTTGACACATTTCCTCAACAATTGCTTTGGTTTAGTTTAATATCTAGTTTATTAGATGCTACTTTGAAATAATCACTTGACTATCTAAATATGGTGAAATTTTTATTTGATTTTGAGGGACTGATGAATTAAAACCTGCTGTTTCTGCCATGCCAGAATTCCTCAAACAAAGAAGAATAAAAAGGAAAATTCTCTGTGCTTTTTGTGAAATTTTATTACCCCATTTAGTGCATTGGTTGGGAGAAAGAATTAGCATTTTTGCAAAGATTTTTCTTTTTTAGTATTTGAAAACATTTTTTAGCTTTACTGAGATATAACTTACATACAATAAAATTCACAAATTTTAAAAGTGCAATTCGATGAGTTTTGACAAATGTATACAGTCTATTACCACTACTACAATCATGACATAGAACATTTCCATTACCACCCCAACATTTCATTATGCTCCTTTGTAGTCTTTCTTCTGCCCACATCCCTTGGCTACCAGTATCCACTGAAAAATATGGATAATGTCATAAGTGTACTTGTTAATCCATGTGCAGAGGTCATGCTATCTTCTCTGTGTTGTTCCAACTGCAATACATGCACTGCCCAAGTGAGCACTTACAAAGTTTCTAGAAGTAAGTCATGGCTATATATTTGTTTGTAAACTTTTAACAGCATTCATTTGAGATATTATTTCTAAGAGTAGAAATAATTCATGAAGATATTAATGAAAATAGTGTTCATTAAGATTTTATTTCTAAGAGTAGATTAGAAATATACTTTCAGTCCCCTTGGAAAAGAAAAGTCAGCAGTTTCATACTACCCACAGCACAACGTAATGCTTGAGATACTGTCCTGGTCTCATGTCTCACTCATAGTTCTTTCTGAAGCACCGAAGTGTTAATTAATAATTAGCTTTCCTTGGTCATCTTGTATTTTATTACCTTTAGAATACTTTTGTAGCTGTGCTTTTGAAACAACAAGTGGATTGACTCTGCCTCAGTTAATCACTTTGTTAAGTTCTAAAACACAAAGAATTGTTGAAATACAGTTTCTAAATGTTGAAGAGAGAGGTCAAGCAATTTAATTTACTCTGCTGATTTGGTAAATGACTAAAAAGGAGGAAACAGTAAGTGTGTTAAAATTGCTATCTATACCCTTGGCTGACAATTTCTGTTCTATGTGAAGAGATTTTAAGTGTAAGAACATTGTTCATTGTGTACAAATACAAAGCATTCTTATCGTTGGGCATTGTCAGTATACATACACTGTGTAGATGACTTTAGCCATAATGGATATATTATTTCAGTTATTAGATTGGAATGTTTTGATTTTTTCAACTAAAAATAGGTGATCATAAATCAGGCTAGAATATGTGTGTGTGCCCAAGAAGTTGGAAATGAATGAGAATCTGCAATAAATATTTTGTTGTGCTCATGTCTTAAAGTCTGATTATGCCATTTGGTTATTTGCAGTCATTGTATTTGACTTTTTAAAAGAGGTTTTCTACTTAGATAATATAAAAATATTAATATATAAATATTAAAATAGTAAATAGTAAGAAGGCATGAATATTTAGCTGATGTATTAAGGTTTATAGTATTGGAATAGAGATGTAATTGTTACAGTGTAGATTTTACTGCGAATCTAAAATCCATCACTTCTGAGATTCAAGTTATTTAGTTAAAGATGGGGAGTAGCTATAGAATGGAAGCAATGAATTTTGAAAAATCATTTTTTTAACTTTTATGCATTTTTATTTTACCTCTATCTATTTACCTCTCTATTTATCAGCCACATCTTCCAAAGAATCTTGAGAAACCTACATTTTCTCTTTGCTAAGCATAAATATAAAATGTTAGTTAAACAAGAGTGAGAACCTATATTATCTTTCCTAGAGTAGTTTAGAAAAGGGTGAAATTTAATTTGCATAACTCTTTGTTTACATATTCTTAAAAAGCTTGCTCCCTGAATCTCAAATCTCTAAACTCAAGATTTCCTAGTGATTTGAGACTAATAGGAAGCTCAAAGTGTTTGAGAACTCCAGAGAAAGCCTACTCCTATTATTTTCCCATTAAAATGCAAGAGCCCCAAGGGATACAGTTTTATGCAGATAAATGTTGGATAAACATCAGAACTTCTGGGCATACTTGAACCCACATTATGAATCATGCACAGTTCTGTCAACCCTGGTTAGAACCCACAGTATTTCGCTTCTTATCCGTATGCCTCTTTTTCAGAGTCTCTTTGTCTTTGCATTAAGCACATCTAAGCTCACTGGCACATTGTAATCAAGCTCAGTGTTGTAAAGAATGAAAACTATTGAAAGGTGAAGGTAACTGCTAATATTTCATGCAACACTTGCCCTTTGTAATAGCACTCGGCCACCCAGATCAGCAGCATGGGTGTGAGCTACATCTGTCACAGCGTCTTTCTTAAACCGAGGGTTTGTGCCTGTCCTTTATTGCTGCCACATGGCTGGCATTGTTATTTCATAACCTAAAGCCCCTTCTTATTTCCCTCTTTGCCCCTGAAACCTTCACTCCTGCGTGTTTTCTTTCTTCTTACCCTGACTCTTTAACAGCTGAACTACATAAATGCCAAACAGCGACATGAATTCCTAAACAGAAGCTGCCACAAAACAGCGCTGCTGCAACCAAGAAACACACATGTAGAGGCACATGACTGACAGGGCTCAAAAGGCAGGTTTTAGTAAATGACAAGTGTGAAGTTCGTATTGTTGCACTAGTCGATGGTAGCTCATATTTACACAAAAAAAATCATTCACATTTCAGAACAATCCAGTATAACTGGCAGCTTGGGAAAGAAAAGACTTAAAATCCCTTAAAGATGAGGAAGACAGGAGGAGTACAGAATCCAAAGCATTCTCTCACTTTGGAATATGTTGGCATCTTTTGATTGAGTTTAAAACTGGGATTTTGGAGAAGCAGTAGGAAAAGTTGAAATTAAATTATTTTTGTTAGGAACAAGAGAGAACAAGAGAATGAAAAGAAAGAGCTGTTCATCTTGTATTTGTTCTTAGCATAATTCTACTCAGTGTTAATTAAAATCTAAGAAATTACACTATCCTTTTTGTATATACTCATTGTCATTGCTATAGGTATATCAAGGGCATGTAGAAATAGAGAAAGGAAATATCATGGGATGTCCATCCATTGTATGTGATTAGTGTTATGGTAATTGCTAATAAAATGTCATCAAATGTCATTTGAATATTGCTTTTCATTAGTTAAAATAATGTTATAGGAAGTTATCTTAAGAAAGAACATAACATTATTCTATAGATGACCTATAATAAGTCAAGGATAGAAATTTTTTTAAAAAATTCCTTCTTAGAGTGATTTACTAACCAGTAGTGGAAGAAAATACAATAGAAGCTGGAATATAAATGTCTTAAGTAAGGACACAGTCATCATTAAGGCTAAAAATTATGTACAGTCAGATTAAGTACAGTGACTAGAGAGAGACCTTTGGGGAGTGTCATCCCAGAACTGGTGGCCTTAGTCATTTTGCAATAATAATACATCTTGGAATTGGTTCAGAGGAGTCTAAAGAAAGCAGGTACATGTGGTGACCTTCACTCCAGTCACGAATATTGAAGATCTGGCATGACTGTGAAGATTTTATTGGTCAGCACTAACTAGGTTAGTGTTTGCAAGGCAACCGGTGAAATTTTTATTCCTTGTTATCCAGCTGTAAATCAGCATTCAAAGTATCTTTGTTTCAGTTCAAGTCCCTAGAAGATAACAGCTTTGCCATGTAGTGGGCATAATACTTTTAATATAGCACCCGGCTTGAAATCTTTTTAACCAAAGGAGGTTATACAACATTTCATTAACACTGTTTGTTGCTTTTATGGCAGTGGTTCGTGATTTGTCAAAGGCTAAACTGAGTCAAGCTATGGTTGGAAACCTATCACATTTGCTTGAGTAACCTAAGTGTTATGATAATATGAAATAATCAATGGAAAAAGATTCAGAGGTAAAGAACACTCTAGAAACAAAAAACTGTGCACAATAATAATAATGAAATAATTGTAGTATAGCTGATACTGTAGATAGCTATACAGTATAGCTGATAGAAGAAAAAATTGCAGCAGTTATACAGGTATTTCCAACCTCCCTCTTAAAAAATTCTAAAAAAAAAATATTATACCAAATATTTTGGTCATTTACTTCATTTATGGAGATTTGATTTGAATATATAATATTATCAATAGATTTTAATATAGAGGGAAAATGTGCCTGGTGTTTTTTATTGTCTTAGAATGCTTCTACTCAAATAATAAAAACTTAATAAACTGAAAGGAATCTCAGAAAGTATTAAATCTGAACTTTTCATTTTATGATTGAGAAAATGAGATCGGATAGAATACTTGCTTTTACCTATAGTGTGACTGACTGACTGGTTAGTTGTTTCTAAAATCCCTTTCTTCTTCCTCCTTTGCAGTTGGTGGCCTGTGACCAAGTTCTACTCAATAAAATGTGGGCAAATGCGATGTGCTATACTTCCAGGCTAGGCTCATCAAAAACTGCTTGCTTGATCCCCCAGGCTCTTTATATATCTGCTGACCTGGAGTGAAGGACTCAAAGGCCCCATGACGTGGTATAGCTTCAAGATAAGGAAGCTCAGATCCCTGAATCATTTAGGAGAAGACACCAATACAGGTGTTATACACAGGCCACACAGGGCTGTTATATTGAACAATAAACTCATTTCTTAGGCCACTGAAGTTTTGAAGTACATCTATTATATTAATTACTAGTACCTTAATAAAGACATGTACTTCACAGAAGCAGCTTTCCTTTCTTTTCCTTTTTTATGTTTTGTTTTGTTTTTTGTTCAGTAGATGAAATCAGAGATTTGTAAGTGGCTGTCACAGCACTAGGAAGAGGGATACTTCTGCCTACAGCCTCATTATTAGCCCGGTCTTGGAATGGTGAGTTTCATTCCTCATTCTTGTTTGTTACCACCACCTCTATCAATGTTCCTTCTTTTCCAGCTTCACTATCACGACCCTCTTCTGCACTTTTATCATTTGAACTTCCATTGGCGCAAGAACCTATTAACTGGTCTCTGAGCCCTTAATGTGCTTCTCTTCTAATTCTTTCCTTGTGCTAACATGAGAATGATCTTGCTCAGAAAACCTCTAATGGCTCCTAGCTGTCTAAAGCTGAGGTAAATATTGGGAGGTCCTGGGATGCCTATGACCTCTAAACATGTTTTGCTTGGCTGATGATATATGCTTATTTTTTATTTAACTTTGTTGCCAGTAGTTAAAAATTCCCAGACTTCTGGCTTCTCTTGACAAATAAATTATCTGGTAGCATTGGGTCACTATTCTCACATGTAAGCCATCAGCTGGAGCAAGACATGTACTCTACAGTTTGCCCTCATCATCACCTCTATTATTCAGGATTCTCCAGAGAAACGGGACTAATAGGACAATGCATGTATGTATCATATGTGCATACATTAATGCACGTATGTATATGAAAGAGAGAGATTTATTATAAGGAATTGACTCATGCATCATGGAGGCTGACAAATTCCAAGTGTGCAGTCAGCAAGCTGCAGACACAGGAGAGCTGATGGTGTGTAAGTTCCAGTCTGAAAGTCAGCAGGCAAGAGTGACAATGATTTGCAATGAGTGAAAGTGGGAAGTATACACATTAAGCTAGAGCAATCAAGATAATAAGTGAATTTAGGAAGAATATAATCTATTTATCCTATTAATTTCATTGGATTAACAATTGTACTTCCCCATACTATATGCCAGGTATTATGCTAAGTGCTTTGTAAACATTATCTCATTTAATCTGAAAGCAATTCTTTGAAGGAGTTACTGTGATTAGCCTCATTTTGCTGATGAGAAAAAAAACAACAAACAAACTCAGGCTTAGCAAGGTTAGGCAATTTGCCTGTGGTCCCAAAGTTAGGACATGACTGAGTTGGAACCCAGTCAGGCAGATTGACTTCAGAGCCCAAGATCTTGCTTAAATATTATGCTAGACTGCCTTCCCAGATTTATGTGTGTTTTATAAATATGGCAGAAGATGATAAGTAAGTTGAAATTTCAGTGATGGCTATAAAAACAGCAAAGCAAAGAGAGTAAACTCTTTGCAAAGCAAATAGTCAATGTTAAATGAACGAATTGAGTACAAGTCAGGAAATTATATAATACTAAAGTAACATACATAAAAGGAGATATTAAAAAATACAGCACCCAGTCATTTACACAGAACGTGGAACACATTAGTAGAAAAGATAGTTGAGACTGGGAGAAAACTCATGATTACAGGGAAGAAGCTGCCGCTATCTTAGATAATTATGTATTATTGGTACAGTTTCTGTTGCATTGGTTCCCAAAAATTCCCCAATAAAAAAAAGCCAAACACATGGAGGCCTTATACTATGCTGTGAGATACTACCATACTGTTTGGCACATTATGGGTACTCAAAAAATATTTGAGGGAGGAAGGAAGGAAGGGACGGAGAGAGGAAGAGAGGCAGAGGGGCAGGCTGTGACCTCATAGGAAAATAAAAATAGTAATATCAGGATTTTTTCCAGATTGATTTTCTCAAATATAGCAGGAAAGTATGAGAAGAATCTGGGTTTAAATTTGTAGAGTTCCTATCACTGACAGACTGAACATTAAAGACTCTAAATGTTGGCTGCTTGATATTTGATAATATCTGGCTAGCTGGATGTGACTGATATTTTGCTCTTTCAGAAATGTTTTATTCATCCAGCTCCAAAATCGATATTTGACCTAATGTGGACATGTGTGGGAAGAAATGTTATTATGTTGCCTGGCAGATGAGAACTAAAAATGAGAACTAGAAAGTGCAGAGAGTTATTGAATATTTTAGAAGGACACTTTTTTCCTCCTAGCATAGTACACCACGAACGTTGTCTTTCTTTAGTCTTGGAGAGAGAGTGATGTCTCCAGCTAATTACTGTATCTTTGTAAAGTCTTTTTAGGCAAATTTACCTCCCCTTTAGCATCTGTCCCACAAAATGATTCACTTAAGAAACTGAAAAGTTAAATAGTCCCGTCTTCCCTGAATAATACCGTGTAGCACAATTAGGTATGCTCCAGTGGGCCCCTCCGGATACAGTCACAGAGTTTGGGATGGATGGAAATCTAGCCTCTGAGTAGTAAGATACCACTACTTTGGGTAGCTAAAACTGCATCTCCACCTTGCTAAATTGTGTGAAAAACCAACTAGAGTATCAGTCTCAAACTGTATTATACTCCATATTATTCAAAGCCATGATGAAAAAAATTCAAGCTGCCTCTTCATTATATATTTGTGTATATATATATCTATATATATGTCTACACCTGTATATATATATATATATATTTATGGGTGTGTGTATGCATGTATATGTATTATAAAAATACATTTCCTTTATAAATGATTTAGAAAATAGAAAAATGTAGACTTGGTTTTCTATAAATCAGGATGAGAGTGGGCGGGCATTTGTCTCTCTACATAAGAGACCGGATACATGGTAATAGCCTTACTTAATAATGATGGCTCTTTCAATATGCTGAATGATTTTAATATCTATCTATCTATCTATCTATCTATCTATCTATCTATCTATCATCTAATCAGTAGTTCTGAAAGTGTGATCTGTGGATCCTTGGGGGGTCCCTTTGACTTTTTCAGGAAGACTACAAAGTCAAAGCGATTTTCATGATAATGGTAAGATGTTATTGCCTTTTTCACAGTATTGACATTTACATGGATGTTGCAAAGGTAATGATTGGAAAAACTGCTGAAATCTTAGCAGAAAGTGACACCAAACTGCAATAGTAGATACTGCCACATGGTTATAAGAAAAATTAATCAGTTTTTCCTAAAGAGTGCCCTTGATAAACCAGTAAAAATTATTAATTTTATTATATCTCCACCTTTGAGTATATAACTTTTTAACATTCTGTACAACAAAATGGGAAGTATACATAAAGCACTTCTGTTGCATCCTGAAGTACCATGGTTATCTTGAGGAAATGTAGTTGTGCTATTGTTTGAGTTGCAAGTTAGTGGAACACCATGTCATTCACCAATGAATGACAAACACACTATGGTTAGTTAGAGTTCACTATTTGGTAAATATTTTCTTATAAATAAATCTCACATTGATATCAAGTTCTAGCACCATTTGTTAAAAAGATTTTCCTTTCTCCCATGGGATTGCTTTGGTGCCGTGGTTGAGAAATGAATTATCTGTATAAAATTGTGTCCTGGATGCTATTCTGTTCCATCAATCTATATGTACATTTTTATGCCAATCCTACACTGTTTTATTACTGTAGCTTTATAGTAGGTATAATCAAGCATAAATCCTCCATTTTTTCCTTCTTTTTCAAGTTGTTATGGCAATTTGTAGTCATTTGCATTTTCATGTAAGTGTTACAATCAGCTTGTAAACTTATATAAAAAGCCTAATGGGTTTATGATGGAGATAGAGTTAAATTTATAAGTTAATTTTGGGAGAATCACTTTTATTAAGTCTTCTAATACATGGGCATTTTAATGGCTTTTTACTTATTTATGTTGTCTTTAACTTCCCTCAGCAACATTTTGTAGTTTTCAGTATAGAGTTTTATATATCTTTGGTGAAATTAATTAGTATTTTATGCTAATATAAATAGAACCCTTTTCATACTAAATTTTCAATCATTTGCTCCTAGTATAAAAAAATAAAATTAGGTCAATAAAATATATTGGCCTTTAATTTGAGACTTGCTAAATTCACTTGTTAGTTCTAGTAGTTTTCCTTCTCTTCCTATTGATTCTTTAGGATTCTTAGGATTGATTCTTTAGGATCATGTGAATATTCATGCCATCTGTGAATAGAAATAGTCTCTCTTTCTCTTTTTCTGCCTTTCCTTTTTTTCCTCTTTTTGTTGTATTACACAGGATAAAACTTCTGGTATATTATTGAAAAGAAGTTGTGAAAATGGACATCCTTGTCTTGTTCTTAATCTTAGGATTCAAAATACTCAGTGTTTCCACATCAAATATGATGTCCCTTGTAACTTTACAATCGATACCATTTATCATATTGAATCACTTTTTTAGATATAAATTAATTTTGACCAAAATATTGCTTACTGATTTCTTAATACTAAATATCTTTGTCTATTTCAGAAATCCAATTCATGCTCAAATGATGATTTATTGATATTAAGGATTTTTAAAAAATAGTAAGATTAGTGATAATCTTTTCTCAGTGCTTTTCTCTGAAGAGAGGACATGAAGGATTATGGGCCAGAAGAGGGAAGGGACATGTTTCATTGTATATTCTTTTGTATATTTTAAAAATGTCATTACATTAATTTGTTATTTATTCAAATTACATAGTTATATATTATCTCTTCAAGTTTTCAATTAATGTTACCTCTACACTAGCTATAAAGGTAATTTTAAAATCTAGATAAAAAAATTTAGAAAACAATTTGTCTTATCTTCTTGAGGTTTAGCATTTATCTTGTGACCTAGGTACTCAATTTCCACATGTGCCTGAATTTGCATAGTGAAGTTTCATAAAAGCAAAAGATGGAAAAAAAAACCTTGAATGATCATAAGTGGAATAATAAATAAAAGTTTGTGGCATAGTCACATAATGGGATATTATACAGCAGTAAACATCAATTTTATCCACAGCTACATGCAGTAGCATAGTCAAATCTAAAGAACATAATTTTGAGTGAAATAAACAAGTCTTCAAAAATGTAGACAGTCTGAGGCCTGTTTATAAAGTTTAAAACTAAGTGAAAGTGAACAGTGTATTGTGTAAGCAAACATGCATGCGTGATACAGTGAGGGGATGTGTAATACACAATTCAGGATAAGGGTGACCTCTGAGGGAGGGAAAAGTAGGGGCTGAAGACGGGATGAACATCCTAATAGATTCAG